ACAGGTGTGCTTGGGTACCTGAGAATCTGAGAGGAATGTGGGAATGAGGCTGGGTACCTGGGCAGCATTGGGCCTTTCCCCACTCACTTCCTACCCACATCCCCACTTCCCCCACCCATCGTTTCTCTGGTCTCTTGCTGACCCATTGCAGTCAGAGACCCTCCAGACCCCTGGCCTAATTCCCTCAGTGCTTTCCTTGGGTCATCACACATCCTTTTCCTGATGACACTCCATGAGAAGGGCAGCCTAGGCAGGCAGAGCACCAACCATGGAGGCTGTCCAGGGCCCTGGTGTCCACTCTTTGCTCCTCTGTGATCTCAGGTGATGATAGGGTCAGGATACGTTCCTCCTCCAGGCGGTAGAGAATGCTGCAAGATTGGATAGTTTAGAGCTCTATTCCTACCCAAAGGTCTTTAACCTCTCCTAGGAGACTTTGATCTGGTCCTTGCTTTTATTTTCCTCCAACCTGAACATCTTTATCTAGGTCCAGGGTCACTGTCTTTTGTCATCAATGAAGATTATGAGTAGTTTGTGATATGGGGCTAGAAACATTTGTTTTCCTCTGAACCCTGTTTTTCCTTTCCTTTCTCTGTCTTCTAAAATAAACAGCCCTCCTTTGACATTCCCTCTTGAAACTTTGACCTCTAATGTAGACCATAATGCTTAGTTTTTTCTTTGAGCACCCCCTGAAGAACCAGGATTCTGCCCTCCCAAATCAGCAGGAGCCAGGCTTTCTGCTTTATCATTCTAAGAAAGGCCTTTGCAAATCAAAAGTTAGGTTTCTTCATTCTGGAGAAAGGCTGAGAAATATGACTCTCTTGCTTGGTGAAGAGGGAGGAGAGGACACTTCATTGCATATGAATGGTAGTCAAACTGTCATGACGGTGAATGTTGCCAGAGCTCCCTGGGCTCCTACAGTGTAAGTGGTGTAAAATAAAGAGTATGGATTTATGAGGTGGTAGCCTGAATTAAAATCCATCTCCCTGTGTTTAATTTTAGGTTGGGGTGCTTAACCTCTCTCTAAGGCAGTTTCCTCAGTAGTTGGAAAGGAATAATTGTAACTCTTTAATTGGATTGGTCTGAGGATTGAAGGAGATGATATCTATTAAGCACCTGACATTTTAGTAGGTGATCAGTTACTTCCTTTCTAGTTTCTCTAACCACTTACTCACCTGCCACAAGCCTGAGGAGATTGGCAGCGAACCAAAGGAGACCCTGGGAACAGGACTAAGGGTTTTCTTAGGAGCTCTTAATTCTACCCACATCAGAGGGCAGACGGGAAGAAGGAAGAAAAGAAAAAGACAAAAGAGATAAAGCTTTGTAGGGGTCTGGCAAGCATAAGCATATTTATGTTCTTTCTTTCTTCTCTTTTTCTTTTTTTAAAACTTAAAAAAATTTTTTTTTATTTTTGGGGGTAAGGTCTCACTCTTTCACCCAGGCTGGAGTGCAGTGGCATGATCATGGCTCACTGCAGCCTCAACCTCCCAGACTCAGTGGATCCTCCTACCTCAGCCTCTGGAATAGCTGTGACTACAGGCACATGCCACCACGCCTGCGTTTTTGGTATTTTTTGTAGAGAAGGGGTTTTGCCATGTTGCCCAGGCTGGTCTCTAACTCCTGTACCCAGGTGATCTGCCTGCCTCAGCCTCCCAAAGTGTTGGGATTACAGGTGTGAGCCACCACACTCGGCTTCTTTTTCTTTCTTTCTTTCTTTTTTTTTTTTTTTTTTTTTTTTT